TACTTAGCCTCAGTACTTCTTGAGGGCAGGACCTGGGGCTTACTCATCTTTGTAATGTCAGGGTCTAGGGCATTACATTCTCTGGGAATACAAACAGGCACCTAGGTACTGGAGGAACTGAAATGGAAGACAGTAAACTCATTAGGCACATCGTACCTTTACAATAAGGAAGAGACAGCCTATTTAAAACAAGTTGATGTACTGTGGAATACATAAGACAAGACAATTTAGTCAGCTCTCCACAAACAAGAGACCTCTGCTAGTTGAGATCTATGCCTTACAGGGTACAGCAATTGATACAGACAGAGGGACTATCTACTCAGCCTTCATCAGTTAGGAACATCAGCACCTCTAACTCACCACTCGCTGACAATGCCACTATGTAAGGATTATATTGTAGATGGTTTAAAACAGTTGCTTCAGAAGTTCACCTTCTATACCTACCTGTAACAAGCTCCCTTATTTCTGCATCAATAGATTTTCTCAACAGTCGCAACAAAGCTGGTATACCACCAACATTCTTCATTGCTATTTTATTTTCATCTGTAGACTTGCCAAAAACCAGGTTTCGGAGAGCACCACAAGCATTCTTCTGAACTTCCAACACTCTGTGGTCCAAAAGGTCAACCAGGTGCTTGATTCCCCCTAACCTACACACCTGGAATGAAAACATTAGGTACCAGCCTAAGTGTCATGGATTCACCACGGGGCAAACAAAAAGTTGTTGTGGGAAAATTAAGGGAAATGGATAACTATAGAATATCTGAAAGGGTTATTTTCAAATAACACAAATTTTCTAAGTTTGAGAAAACACTCCAAGATGATACTCATTTCCTGGGTTTATGGCTTAGAAGTGAGACACCTAAGTGGATTAATGTCCATGTGCAGGGAGCAGCCTCTGCACACTGGTGGGGACTCATGCTCTCAGGCCAGGGGTGTAGTGACCAGAAACACAAACACAGCAAAACTGTATGCAGGGCCAGAGGCAATGCAGGAAAGGACTGTGGACCCAGGTGATTCCCTTTCTAGATTTGGCTCTCTAGGCTACGCTCTCTCAATCTCCCGCCAAGTGTCAGTTCATGAGCAGAACTGAAGCTATCTGGACTTTATGCACCGCATCTACCTTTACTGGTATGAGAGTTTACATATTGAGTTAATGAAAACCACTTCAGTTCAGTAGGACACTGCAAGGGGGTGGGGGTGGGGGTGGGCGTCTATAGCTTTAAAAGAAAGAATGTGTAGGTTAGAAACCACTAGTTAAAAACTAATGTTTTTATCGATGTCCCAAAATGTTAAAATCTGAATGAAAATATTCTTCTACGTTTCATATTAGTAAGTTTGTAAATCCTGTTACTTCACTCAACTGTTTGACCTGATGTTGACAAACCATGGGGTGGGGGTGTGTGTGTGGAGCGGGTGTGTGTGTGGAGCGGGGCGCTCCCTAGTTCAAGGCGTACTGTAGTTTGTAACTCAGATTTTTTGAAAGCTGTTTTCAAATGCAGCTTAAATAGACTTTTGTGTGATGTTTTATACAGAAGCCAATACAAGGGATACATGCTTTGAAAATACTAAAAAAGGCTCCAAGAAATATACTTATTTTAGTTTTCCCTGAGGTATACTGGGTAGAAATCATAGAGTATCTGGTATCCATCTCTAGAGATGGAGGCCATCTCTAATGGCCTCTGCATTGCCTCTGGTATTTCTTAAGCACGTGACAGCTACGTAGGAAGGCACAGTTTCCCAAGTCATCCAGCCGTGGGGTCCCGTACCTCCATCTTCACTTTGTTGTCCCCGAAGCACAGGTGCTGCAGGTAGGCTGCGGCATTCGCCTGCACCGACGGGAACTGGTGCTGCAGCATGTGGATGACTTCAGGTAATTCGGGATCTCGCCAGGCAAACTCCCTGCACAAGGAAAGCACGGTTTCAAAAAGGAAGGCCCCAGGTGCTAATTGACCACTGAACCGATGTTTGTTATAGGAAAACCATTTAGGGGAGACAAACATTGGAAGTTACAAAGACCCTATATATACACAATTATATGCCCCCCCCCCCATTGAACATATGTAAAGATCCAGATGCTTATGATCTTACAGAGATTATGATGCACAGAAGCACAGAAAGAGATTCATAGGAACGAAAGAAATTCTTAATATAAGTATGCTACTCTGGTTTTCCTCCTCCTGTTTCTATTTTTATGCCTTTCCATCTAAGTAGGGAATTTGCAGGTGCAAGGCACAGGTAAACAAATGTAATTTGGCTAAGTGAGATGTCATGCTTCAAGAGACAGAACGAGGGGATGGTGGAAATAGAGCTGGCATCAGCCTAGAAATCTCTAATTTGTGAGTTCCACGACTTTTGAAAAGCATACCACGGCTGCTCTTCATTATGTAACAAAAAGTCCCTGCCAAGTTGATTCTGATTCATAGCGACCCTATGGGACAGAGCAGAACTGCTCCTGGAAGTCCCCAAGGCTGTTGATAGGAGCAGAAAACCGAAAATCTTTCTCCCTTGGAGTGGCTAGTGGATTTGAACCACCAACCATCTAGTCAGCAGCCCCACATGTAAGCCCCCGCCCCAGCAGTGTTCCTACACCATATGACATGCTTGTTTGGGACTGGAATTATCTTCTCTGCTTACTTGGCCACCAATAGCTCCTGATCCTTTAGGAGAGCTTAGGTCTCACCAAGTGGATCAGGGGCCCTCCCTACCTGTCCTCTGGGCTCCCAATGCAACCTCTGCTGAGTCAGAGCACCTGCCATTAAGAGTCACAAACCACCTGTGTTCCTACTTAGCCTCAGTACTTCTTGAGGGCAGGACCTGGGGCTTACTCATCTTTGTAATGTCAGGGTCTAGGGCATTACATTCTCTGGGAATACAAACAGGCACCTAGGTACTGGAGGAACTGAAATGGAAGACAGTAAACTCATTAGGCACAT